GTCCAACCTTCTGCTTAGGCAGGAAGCCTTATACCTGGGATGGCGAACCTGTGGCACGCATGCCACAGGTGGCACGTGGAGCCATATCTGTGGGCACGCGAGCGTTGCCCTAGCTCAGCTCCAGCACGCATTTGCGTGCCGGCCAGCTGATTTTTTGGGTCACCAGAAGTTGGGAAACGGGTTGTTTCCGGCCTCCGGATGGCCTCCAGGGGGTAGGGAAGGCTGTTTTTGCCCTCCCCAGGCTCCAAGAAAGCCTCTGTAGTCTGGGGAAGGCGAAAAACAGGCCTACCGGGCACATCGGTAACCTTTTTGAGCGCGGGGGGGGCGTGTTGTACGTGCAAGCACAGGGAGGGGGCGTGGCGTGGGGGGACATTATGGGTGTGGGCACGCACACACGAGTGACCCCCCCCCGCATTTCCTCCGTTTTTGGCACGCGACGGCAAAAAGGTTAGCCATCACTGCCCTATACTATTTCAGACAAATATGACTGTCCGATCTCTTCTTAAAAACCACCAGTGATGGAGCGCGCCCACAACTTCTGGTGGCAAGCAGTTCCACCGGTGAATTGTCCTTACTGTTAGGAAGTTTCTCCTGAATTCCACGTTGCTTCTTTTCTTGATGAGTTCCCATCCGTTGCTTCTTGTCCTGTTTTCGGGTGCTTTGGAGAATAGGCTGACCCCCTCTCCTCTTCGGGGCAACCCCTCAGATATTGGGTGACGCTATCATGTAGCGTCCTTCTTTTCACTAGACTAGACATCCCCAATTCCTGCAACCATTTTTCGTATGTTTGAGTCTCCAAGCCTTTAATCATCTTAGTTGCTCTTCTTGGCACTCTTTCTAGAATCTCAACATCTTTTTGTGCAAGGGATGATGGTGTGTATTCAGCCGGTTCAGAGGTGTGTATTCAGCCAGTTCAGACCAGTTCACCCGAACCGGTAGCGGAAATTGTGGGTGGGCCCGGCCACCCGCCCCGGCTCTATGTCAACCTATTTAGGCACATTTTTGAGGCTGGGCGCATGCACGGAAGCTATGTGTGTGTGTGCGGAAGGCAGCGCACGAACTGGGCGTGCGCGCACGAACCGGAGTGAACCAGTAGTAAAATAATCCGAAACCCACCGCTGGATGTACCCCACTGCTAAACTAAACGAAGAGAGAATTAATCTGAAGTAATTAATCCGGGTCAGAATAGGTGGCCATCCTCAGGGGAGCTAGTCCCGAAATACCGCGCAGAGGCCCCTGGGTGCGACCAGCTGCTCGGCCAACTATGGGAGCGGTTACATCACGAGACGCAACTGATTGCGCCGGGTTGCATCACCAGGCAACGAGGGCAGCTGGGCGAATTTGCGGACTCCACGCGCCAGAGTGTTTCCCCATCTGTTAAAAAAAAAAAAAGATATTGGGTTGGATGAAATGCTACGATTCAAGTCCGTTTTAGCAGAATAGCAGAGTTGGAAGGGAACCCTGGAGGTCATCTAGCTCGACCTCCTGCTCAGGCAGGAAACACTGCCCCGTTTCAGACAAAACGTCAGTCCAGTCTCTTCTTAAAAGGGCTTAATTTTTTTTTTTTCGGCGGATGGGAGACGCTTCCTGCTAGGTTGTGATTATACCAATCCCAAACACTGGGCCGTGCGATTTGATATTTTTAAAATACGTCCTCAATTTATGACTCATTCGTTTTAGTGACCGTTTGAAGTTACAACGGCACTAAAAAAAAGTGGCTTAGGACCGTTGTTTGTCCTTTATGACCTCTGCAGCAAGCCCGTGGCCACTTCATCAAAATTCGGATGCTTGGCAACCGATTCGCATTTACGACGGTTGCGATGTCGTGGGTGTCACACGATCCCTTTTTGCGACCTTCTGACGAGCAAAGTCAACGGGGAAGCCAGGTTCACTGTGGTCGTAAGAGTGGAGGACTGCCTGTATTTGGGAGCTTGGTTCCCGCACACGCACAACATCAGGGCGTGGTGGATCAGTTCTGGTTGGGCGGTTTGGAGACAATCCGGTAGGCGGATTTCCGTTGGGGGGTTTTATACGGGGACCCTGTGTTCTTATGGCTCTTGCCGGGCTCTACGTTTCATGCGTGCACACACAAAGACACACATATACAGATGCAGGATCTCCCTTGCCCTCGTGGGTGGCTCCGCTTACGCCACGAGACTGTGCTGTGTTCATTGTCTGGGCACAGGGCGGTCTTTATATCTTCGCCAGGCCAGAGATGCCATCCGCTATGCCTCATTTTCCCGCTGAAGGTCTCCTTTGTGGGCCCGGGGCTCAAGATGCGCCTCTGGGCCATCCGCTTTGCTCCCATTTTAGAGACCAACTGAGGCCGAAGCTGAGAGGACGGGAACACGGGGGTGGGGTGGGGGGAACTGAGTCTGTCTGTCTGACGCACGTCAAAGAAATTAGTTTGGATTGTTGCGGCCAACGTCTTGACGTACTTGAGGTCCCCTGCGCTGTCTGAGCTTAGTTTATTTTTGTCTTACAGACATTTCATGGCCCAGCTAGAGAACATCCTCAGTGCTAGTGAGTGTGGATTTTGCAAATTCCACAAGTAACTGCACCTCCTTCTAGCACTGATGATGTTAGTTGGGTCATGAAACATCTGCAAGAAAATCACCAAACTCAGGGAACGCCAAAGACCCTCCAGTTGTTGTCCTCCTCCTCCTCGTCCCCCTCCTCCTTGCAAACCCCACTCCCTTCTAGCACTGATGATATTACCTAGTTGGGTCAGGAAACGTCTCCGCAGAGCAATGGATATTTTCGTTTCGATTGCCGTCGTTAAGCCGAGCAGTACCAGTACTGAACGGTGTGTCGCTTTTGCTCTGCTGAGTGGTGGTTGGGGTGGAACAGTGGAAGACACGTCACAATCCACCAAGGACCCCATAGTCGTCGTCCTTCCTCCTCCTCCTCCTTTTCCTCCTCTTCCTCCCCGCAAAAACCACTCCCTCCTAGCACTGATTTCATTCCCTACTTGGGTCATGAAACGTCTGCAAGGAAACCACCAATCTCAGAGACCACGAGGGACCCCACAGTTCAACTCTGAACTCTGAATATTCTGTCCTTTCTACTTCCTTGACCACACTCTGCAGATACGCCCCCACCCCCAGTCATGGCCATTATGTCGTGGTTCACCCCTGAGGCTTAGCCACAAACCGTGTGCAGAGACAACGCCGGTTCACCCCCGAGGCGCGCAGTACAGAACACGACGATACAGAAACGGCAAAACATGTCTTGCGCTATCCCAGCGGCCGCCCCAGGCTGTCGTCCTTGCGTCCTGCTGTCTGATGCTTGGTGCCATCGGGCTGGGACCCGCGTTTTATAATCTGACCCCCCCCCTCCCCGTGGTCATGTTGTGAGACTTTGTGACTAAGCAGGTTCGGGACAAGGGGACGGGGAGAGGTCAGTAAGGTTGCTGTGGGTGTGTTGGTTTGCGGGCAGGTGCTGCCCAAAGGGGGAACCACCTGAGGCAGGCCGGACCACATCGCAGGAGGCAACGTGCGGCCTTCTCTTTTTCTCTGAGGATCAAGCCCAGGTGTCGTGGCAAGCGAACTGGGTTATAGAGTCCTCCGGCTGGAGGACTCCAACGTGTCTTCCACTGTTCCACACCTGCCGTCACTCAGAGCAAAGGGGACACACCGTTCAGTACTGGTACTGCTCAGCTTAACGACTGCAATCGAAACGAAAACGTCCGTCGCTCCGAGGAGACGGTTGTGGCGTTTGGCCCGATTTTGCTACCGTTTTTGCCATGGTGGTGAAGGGACTCACTATGCCGCGGGTATGAAGTTAGCCGCAGGGTCGTTAAGCGAATCCGGCTTTCCCCGTGGACTTTTAGCTCGACCGAAGGTCGCAAAAGGGGATCGCGCGACCATCAGAAATGCGAGCCAGTGGCAAGTGTCTCAAAAAAGTGTGGAAAAGTCACTTTTTTCTGCGCCGTTGTCATTTGGAACAGTCACTAAACGGAACGGTTCTAAGGCGAGGACTACTTGTACAACTGAGCCAAGTCGCCAGATTTTTCCTGGGGTCACTTGCAGGAGTCTTCCTCCTCCCCCCTCAACTTAGGATCCTGGGATTTCCATTAGGGTAGAGGTAGTCCCCGACTTACAACCGTTCATTTAGTGAAGTTACAACGGTACTGGGAAAAAAATGATTTACGACCATTTTTCACACTTAATGACCATTGCAGCAACCCCATAGTCATGTGATCAAACTTCAGAGGTTTAGCAACCGACTCCTATTTATGATGGTCGCAAGGGGTGGGGGGTGTTGTTTCATGCGATCCCCTTTTGCGACGTTCCAACAAGCAAAGTCAAGGGGGAAAGCCGGATTCATTTAACGACCATGTCGTTAACAACTGAAGCGATTCGCCTAACAGCCGTGACTGGAAAGATTGCAAAACCAGGGCCAAATGGACTGAATAAATGTGTCGCTTAGCAACAGAAAAACGTTGAGCACGTTCGTGGCCATAAGTCGAGGACTTAAGTCTAGCATGCGCCATGCCAAGAGACCAGGGGCGGTATTCACTTAGCTTCGCTACCGGTTCACAAATGTGAACCTGCGCAGAGCGTCCAAAACAGGACGTGATGACATCTGAATGGGTGGACGGAGCTTCCCGCAGCCGCCGCTACCAGTTTCGCCGAACCTGATACAACCGGCTGAATACCACCACTGCAGGAGACCCTGCTTCTCACCCTCTCCTCTTCTGAGGTTTCGGGGTCCCTTTCAGCCGAGGGATTGCCTTTTCCGTGTGTTATTTTGGGGGGTGGGGGGATGTCACTATTTTGCAAATCGGCAGAGTGGCTGATTCGGCGGAGTACAAGTGTCGAGGAATGTGGAACGCCACGCGTGTGGGAGGGAACAGATGGACACGGCTGTCTCTTTTGGGAGGAAGAGAGGTGAACATAAATAAGTGGCTTTCCTGAGGGGGGGGACACAAATGGATAAACCTCGGTTTCCTTAAAACCGCCCACCCCCCTAATGCTTGCTTTCTTCTTTTCCTACAGAATCAGCGTCCGCACCATGGCGGGAGAGTAGCCGTACCCCCCCACCAGCCACTCCTCGTGGCCAGAGACGGCGCATGGGCCCGGTGTGGCGGGGGACCCAACCCATGAGAAAGCAGCGAGGGGAGCATGTTCCTCCTCTGGTGAGTGGCCGAAAGCAGACCGCCGCGCGGTGGGGGCCGCCGTGTTCCCGTTGGCGCGTTCCGTTGTTGGCGCGATAAACAGGCCGTCCTCGTCTTACGGACGTCAGTTGAGCCCAAAATGTCTGTTGCTAAGCGAGATATTGGTTAAGTCTGGCCAAAATTGTAAAAAAACCTTTTGGGAAAAGTGTATTTTTGAGGTTTGATGGCTAATAACACCACTGTTTTTTTCGGAGTTTCAAGATCTGGGAATAGCCCAGACCTTAACCCAAGTCAAAATCTCTGGAGCCGATGAAAGAAACTGGTTAGCCAGAAGCAACCCAGCAATAAAACCCAGTTAATAGAAGCCATCATTCAATCTTGGTTTCACATGATAACAGCTGCAGAACTCAAAGACTCGGTTCGCTCCATGGGAAGACGTAAGGCCGTCATACATGCTAAAGGTTACCCAATTGTCATGGGGATCATTTTTATATATATGTCATTTTTTCTATGATGATAATTTTTGTATATCTCATTTTTTCTATGATGATAATTTTTGTATATCTCATTTTTTCTACATGTTTCACTTTTCTTCTTTATACTGTGGCTGCTATTCTCATAGCAAACCCTTCATCAAAGTGATTGCATTACATTCTTGATTAAATTATCTTTCCATTGATATATAATTTTATGGTACTACTCCAAGAAAAAATTGGTGTTATTAGCTAGTTTTAGAAAATACGCTTTTGCCAAAAGGTTTCCATAATTTTGGCCACTACTGTACAGGTATTGTACAGTTGATTGACAGTGACACTTAAGCCCCAAATTGCTGTCGCTGAGCGAAAGACAGGTAGTCCTCGACTTACGACAATGGTTCGTTTAGTGACCGAAGTTACAACGGCATTGACAAAAGGAACTTTTTCACACTTAATACGACAGTTGTAACATCCCTGGAATCACAAGATTTACATTCGGATGCCTGACCGCGGACTCGCATTTCTGACGGTTGCAGCGTCCCACGGCACGCAATTCCCCTTTTGCGACTTTCTGACAAGCAAAGTCACTGGGGAAGCCAGATTCATTTAACAACCGTGTTACTAATCGAACAACTGTAGCGATTCGCTTAACAAACGCGGCAAGCAAATTTCTCACTTTAACAAGATAAATTGTGGGCTCAATTGTGGTCGTAAGATGAGGATTACCTGCAGTTAAGTGAGTTCTGCCACCTTTTACGACCTTTCTTGATACAGTTGTTAAGTGAATCAATGCAGTCGTTATTTGAACAACAGGGTTGTTAAGCGTCCCCGTTGCTTGTCAGGAAGTCACGAGATGACATAACCCAGGACACTGTAACCGTCGTAAATGTGAATCAATTGCCAAGCCGACCTATGATTTTTTGATCACGTGACGCTGCAACAGTTGTTAAGTGTAAAAAACGGTCATAAGTCACTTTTTCAATGCTGTTGTAACTTTGAACGGTCACTCAATGTTGTAAGTTGAGGACTACCTGTAATGGATGCTGCCATGGCTGGAATTTTTGTCCTCGACTCACACCCATTCATTTAGCCAATGTTTCCATGTTCCGATGGCGGTGAAAATATGACTCGCGACCGGTCCTCACACTTACGACCGTCGCAGCATTGCCACAGTTACGGGGTCAAAATTCAGGCGCTTGGCGACCGATGTGTATTTACGTTAGTGTATTTACGGATCATCATTTATAACCTTTGACAAGCAGAGTCGGAATGGGGGGAAAGATCACGCGGGACTGCGCGCACGAGGCCGCTGTTGGGCGGGGAGAGGAACTAAGGAAACACGAGAAAGTCAATCCTCGCCAAAGCAGAACGGGGTTTTCCGGTGAGGCCACCGGCAAGCCGATTTCTTTCTTTTTTTGCGAAAATGGAAACTGTGCAACGATGACACACACGTCAGTTGCTCAACTGGAAGCAGGCTCGAGGGCTTTTGTTTGGCATCGCCTTTTGTGGGTCAAAACTTCGGCGGGTACGTCGTCGCCGTCGCCCGTGTGCATCACTGCACTTTCCCTGCGCATCAAACGCATGCTCTCCCTTTCTCTCGCTGTCTCTCTCTCTCTCTCTCTCTGTCCCTCCGGAATGCGTCTTGCACAAAGGCTCCCTCGCAGCTGCTGCTCTTACTCCTCGTCCCACCCCCTGCAACCGCTGCCTGAGGGCCGGGCCGTGGACTCCTCCAGTGCTGTCCCCGCCCTCTGGCGCCCGGCCAGCGAAGCAGCTGGGCCTGGTGGGTGGGAGGGGGAGCGCAACGGGGAGGGAAGATCCACTACGTAAGGGCTGCGGGGAGGGGGAGGAGTTGGAGGACAGAGTACGACAACGACGGAGGAGTGAGCCTGTGACTCACTCGCATGCTTTCCCCAAGCAGCCGCTGTGACCTTAAAAGGCTCCTTGTTGGAGTGAACAAACAATTAACCCCCTTGCTGCCTTCGTTCCTGCCCTACGTCTGGAGCCGGGCCCCCAAACAAAAATCCCAGGTTCTCTAGGGCGCAGGGTTTTTACCCCAAAAAAACCTCCCCGGAAGTGCTCTCTCTTTGTTTGCGCACACTCCTTTTGCAACAGATTAGGATTGGCTGAAAGTTGGCGTGAGAATTGGTGTCTGGATCCCGCCACTGTTGTCTGGAGGGACCCCGGAACGAGGGTGACCCAACCATTGGACGTTGTAAACTCTGACCCCCACGACCGAAAACAGGCGTATGCGTGTTTCTCTCCTCTTGGAGGTGCATGTGCTTCTTTTTTTTTTTTACATGTAGTCCTCGATTTAGAACGGTTCACTTAAGCGACGGTTTGAAGTTACGAAAAAGTGACTTAGGACCATTTTTTCGCACTTACGACCGTTGCAGCATCCTCGCAGTCAAGGGACGGAAGTTCAGATACTTGGCAACGGACTCATATTTATGACCGTTGCAGCGCCCTGGGGTCATGCGATCCACTTTCGCGACAATCTGACAAGCAAAGTCAATCGGGGAAGTCAGATTCACTTAACAACCGTGGTGTTAACTGAACCACTGCAGTGTTTCACTGGACAACGGTGGCGAGAAAGATCATAAAATGGGGCACAGCTCATTTAACAGCCGTCTTGCGTAACAGCAGAAATTTTGGGGCTCAATTGCATAGGCCGAGGACTACATGTACTGTACTGTACTGTATTGTCTTGGATCAACTACCCCTAATCCAGCATCCTGCACAAGTGCTGGGGCTCCTCCTGGGGGTTGATGATGGGAGGTGTAGTCCTAAAGTGCCATATGGAAAGGTGCCACTGAGAGAGAGGGGCTGCCTTCCCACAAGTTTGCAAACAACAGAGCGGCACACACTTGTATCGTCGTAGCCGGGAGACGTTGGTCACAGAAGGCCTCTAGACGCGCCGCTGAAATGTAGAACTCTGTACCCAAATTTGTTTGCCTTGTGTGAGGCTGAGCAAGCAGGGATTCTTGTGTACACAACGCACACCCTGGCCCCTTTGGTTTTGTTTGGTGCACAGCTACGGTGCCTGGGACATTTTCTCCAGGCTGGCAGACGGGAGGCTGCCCCGAAAATGTGTCGGGAACCAGCAGGGAAACGGTTACAGATCTGATGACGTGAGCATGGGCTGCCACCGCGCCAACAGGAGCTGGCACGATCCTGGCGTTCTCTGCTGCCGTGGCCAAGTTCTTTTAATTTTTTTTCCTCTTTCCTTACAATCGCTTAAACGGTTGCTTTGGCAATGCCGCCGCCGTTTCCTTGCCCCGCTTGGCACTCGGATGGGCCAGGAAGGGAGGACTGGCATGGACAAGATGGGGTTCGTGCGATACAAACGATGTCGGGGTCTCGTGCCGCGGCTGCTCCTTCAGGACGTGCCAGAGAAGGACAGTAGCCGGGTTTTGCCGAGCGCGTGTGTATCGGGGTAGGAGGGACTCTTCCACGGTTGTGCCATTGTCAGGTGTAGTAGGACCCATGTATGCCATGTACGGGGATTGCCGCAAATGACCTTTTGGTGGTATGTGCAGTGTGACATCGCTGGCATGTTTGTCTTCCATGTCCTTGGACGGGGTGCTCGGTCTAGTAGCGTGTGCGGTCATGCATTTTCTGAGCATGCCTATGTGGTTGTCCTCTTCACACAAGTGCGTGGAACAGTCCTCCAAGAAAACATGCTGGTGGTGAACAGGTAGTCCTCGACTTACGACAGTTTGCTTAGTGACCCTTCAAACTTCCAACAGCATTGGAAAAAAAAAAGACGTCTTTTTCACACGCGTGACCCTTTCCGCATCCCTATGGTCACCGTGAGCCAAATTCAGAGGCGTTGGCAACTGACTCATCTTTGTGACGGGTGCCGTGTCCCAGGGTCGTGTGATCCCCTTTTGCGACCTTCGGACAAGCAAAAGTCCCACGGGGAAGCTAGATTTCTTTAACAACCGTGCGACTGATTTTAACAACGGCCGCGCTTCATTTATGTGGCCAGCAAGGTGGTCAAAACTCGCTCAACCACGGGCCTGGCTTAGCGACAGGCCAATTGCGGTCACAAGTCGAGGACTACCTGTACTACGAGGAGCCCTCTCTGCATTCAAACCTACACATATCAGAGCTTCTCGTTACGCCACGGCGGTGGTGGCCTCTGTAGCAGGCGATTCAACCGTGTTGTGGTTGATTTTGCTGGAGAATTCTGACAAAGACTGAGCGAGCTGGGATTGCCTAAGTAGGGCAGGGCTTCTGAAGACGTGGGGGCGGAGGAGGGACCTAGACTTGTGGGGTTGGGGAGGGGGGGGAAACTAATGAAGTCATTCTAGCCCTTTAAACCGGGACAAATTTTCCGGGGGAGGGAAGAGGCTGAGTCACTTGTGGCCGGAATTTACCCCACACACACGCTCCACTGACTTGGCAGGAACCCTGAACCCCACATGGTGGCCTGGTGGGGGGGAGGATAAGGGTGGGGGGGGAGGAGAGAGAAAGACACACCAGCGGAAAGGAGTGACAAGTTACATTCTCCTAGTATGTCCCGGTTGCACATTAGTCGTCGAG